GATTCGTGTCATTTTAATGACTAGAGGAATATCTTACCAAAAGATGTAATGAACAGTTAGACGTCTCGGCTGTATTGTTAGGTTGTTTACGGTCAGTGACTGGATAAAAAGGCTTCGGACCACGGTAACATACCCTTCGGCGAATGATAACAAGACCCAGGCCGCGAGAACAGTGATTAGGGACTCATGCACGCCCCTTAGCACGACAAACTGACAATTTTCACCGTCATTATCCTCTCGAGAAGCACGTCCATTGTTTCTGATCCCAGAAGGACCATTTTAAGCGCCCTTCGTCGAGCGTACGTTCTGCGAGCAGGAAGCGTGAAGAAGGATGTGCCAGTGCTCTTCCTCTCTCTTTCTCCCTTCTTTCTCTCTCTTTCTCTCTATCTACCTATATATCCATCTATCTATCTCTTTCTATCTCCATTTCTATTTCTCTCTCTCTCTCTCTCTCTATCTCTATCTTGACTCGATAAAACGGGTAAGTTCTGACACATCAGAGGGTAGAGGTAGCTACCTTCTCATTAAATCCATTATACCAAGTGCACGGCGATGAACTTGACCTGAACGCCAGGCCGTCAGAATGGCTTAGACAGATCGTTTAGGTGGAATCTAAATCATCTGGCTGGTCCTTCCCCCCTTTCGCGCTCCTGCTGTTTGAAAGCGCGCTCGACCGCACTACTATTCCCGACCGACCTCTCACGACTTCATTAGTACCTGCTGGTTTTGGAATGCGCGGGATTTTGGGTATCAGGAAGGACGATAGTATAGTATGCATATATTTCCTCTTTAAGAGGCTCCGCAGCGTGTCAGTAACGTGCGAAGCTCGACATCGACACTTAATATCGGCGTCTTGGTATCGGTAGGAAGCGAGCTCAAGTGTGAGACCGGTAAATAGGACAACGCGATTAATAGCGGGGTCATCACGCGGATTATATCACGCTTCTGTGCCGCATCGTCCGCCGCGAAAATCATCAATCCTCATTAATAAAACGGCCATTAATTTAATTATCGCGCGTGCATCGCGCCTGCTGGATTCCGTCGGATAAATCTTCATTCAAGAAAACGCATATTTCATTAATTACCGTCCGCACTTTGTTAATTAACATTGTGACGTTATCCGATTATCTTTCGCCGTGTCGTTCGATTCCCGCAAGAGTCATCAGTACGTATTTAATAGGACGACCATTAATTTCATTACAGATTACACGTTTCGCCGGGTTCTCCTGACAATCGCACGCACATTCACAATGGCCATTTGCCGACGCATGTCTAATAAAATTAATATTCTAGGACAAATTTTCACTCGACATTGCCCCGCGCGCGTGCGTTTCACCGATTATTACCCGCGTATTTCGTCGGCCGGACGGACGGCGTGTTCGATCGTTTTCTTTTTACTTCCCGTTAAATTCCCCGCGCTAGTCACCAACCCCGGTTAATAAAATGATCGTTAACTTAATTGCGAGTTACACGTTACGATTTGTCGGCGTTTGCTCAGCATCAGTGTTGAGTCGCGGTACACTTTCCTTTGTGCCGTCCTCCGAGAAAAGGTGGCACGAATGTCTTCTCATTAAACTGATTATACAACGAAGAATAGCTCACGTCACGAGTGGCGAAAGCGAGATCATTTGGCTGGAATGTAAATCACCTCGGGTTCTCACACTCGTCGTACGACCGTCTCGTCACATAATTCGACTTCGGGCTTTCAAACTTGATTCCACGAGAGATTTCGTTCCTTTCGATTAAAACATTTTATTCCGACGGCACGAATCGCGGTGCGAATCGCGACGCTGATTTTTATTGTAGCCAATAACACGAGAGAATTTGATCGACGCTTCCAAGCAATCTGCTGAAATATTAATCGAGGCTTTTGAATATTTTGTACAGTATAAACTGTGAATCAAATTCGCCAATCTATCCACCAGCGGAGCAGCATAGAACTACTACGCGACTACGTGACTCGCGTTAGGTCAGTGTATCTATCGCTTTTCTCCGTGTTAGCTTTGTCTCTACCAATGTTTTCTCTCCCTCCCTCCCTCCCTTCCTCCCTCTCTCTCTCTCTCTCTCTCTCTCTCTCTCTCTCTCTCTCTCTCTCTCTCTCTCTCTCTCTCTCTCTCTCTCTCTCTTCTCTCTCTCTCTCTCTCTCTCTCTCTCTCTCTCTCTCTCTCTCTCTCTCTCTCTCTCTCTCTCTCTCTCTCTTTCTCGGTCCTCGACAGATAGAACAGCACACAGAGGCGAACAAAATTGCTCGATCCATGCACAATGATGATCCGAATTGAAGATCCGGCTGGAAAAACCGGCCAAGTTCACTTTTCTCGACAAAGAACTTATTTGCCATCTTGTGTTTGGCGAATAATGGCTCGTCGATTGATGTGAACATCAGGTGTGTCTACACGACACGTACGGTGAGGAAAATCAAGTGAGTTTACCGGCTTCTGGTCTGCGTGTGTATTGGACGTATTGGAGCACAATTTGTTAATGTGTCGTGGCAATAGACACAACGGTGCAACTGTAAAGCCTAAGAAACATGTAGATACGCTATTCGAGAGTGTACTAGAGTTAACCGTAAAATGCTTCGAATTGAATGATGATTTGCGCCCGCAGCGCGTGTAGTTCATATATTTCACTCGGTAAAGTAAATAATCGTGCAAAACTAACTGAACATCCCGGTGTCCGTTAGACAGAGAGAGAGAGAGAGAGAGGGGGGGGGAGCACTTCACGTGTGCGTTTTAACGATTGTGTCAGGAAATATGTACTTCTAGGCTTAAGTACAATCGGAGATAAATCGCCTCTCGAGTGGTTAACGAATTATCACCTAATCTTGACGTAAGGAACAGCTCGCTCCGTGTTGTTTGTCGAGTAATTATTTTCGGTAGAACGGAGCAGGTGCCGTTATTTAGACAAGTCAATCGTCGCCGGTGGCAGCAAACCACCGCGGTTGTTGCGCAAACATTCGCGAGGGCTCGCACGCATTATGGTTGCGAACCACCAACTATAACCGGCACCGCTCTCTGGTCTCTCGCAGGATTCGTGTTTGCGTATCGATTGCACACACGCATCAATACAGAAGTCGTTCGCAACGTCGGATGTTGTACGAACAAACTTGTAGGACGTGTGCAACAGCGGTAGACTGTTGCGAGGTATGTTCGAGAAACATTTCGTGAAATATTTTCTGGAAGCGCGCGAATATATATTTTTTTATTTAAGGCAAATTGAACGCGAAGCTCTGCATTAAAAAGTGGTCAGACACGATTTTTGCGAGAGGTTTTGAGGTATCTCTGAAAAGTCACTATACTGGTCTCTTAAAAAAAAAAAGGAAAAATAAAAACACCTCTTTCGAGGTTTCTTTATTTTATTTTCTTTATTTTAAATATCTTTAATATATTGTTTCTCCTCTTCCATATCTTTCATTTAGTATTAATGTCGTAAAGAAGGTTACTAGTATTCATGGGCTATATCGAAATTTCCCAACCCACATAATTTTTTCTCATTGACTGGAATCGTAAACACACCTGGTGATACTCGAGTTGACCAAAGTAATGTGACCAAAGTAAATAAACAAATTTGAAATTTACCAATATATACAGTTTATAATTCTTAAATTATAAGTAGACACTATGCAAATACACATAAATGACTTAGTATGCCACAATACAATAGGTCACTTTTTTCCTTCTCGACTTATCACCTTCTTTACGACATTAAACGCTCTTGACCCGTGCGAAAGATTAATAAACTTTAGCACGTCAATGCGTCACTATTCGAGACTGTAGAGAACTGCTTGCTCCGTTCGTTTAAAATAAATCGCGGCCGTTGTGCACCGATGCACAATGCGCATCGAAACTCGACGCTCAGTTGATGCTCGGAAAAAACTAAGAAGGCTTCGACCGCCGTCGCGTCGCCCATTGTCAAGCTGGAAAGAACGGCAGCTGCGATCTCGCGACTGCCGGTTGGAAACTCGAACCATTTATTCGTTCGCACCTTTACGTCGCTCCCCGAATCCGTGAAAACACCTTACGCTTTTCATCCAGGTAAATACCGAGATTCTCTTTTGAAGGCTACGAATGGGTGCGCATGGAAACGAGGCCCGTCACTAGTATCGTCCTGAATCGAACTCCCGCCAAGACAAACTTTTCTTTGGGCGTAATAATTTCCTGAAAATATCTTTTCAGAATCTGGCTCCTTTATCTCTTCGCTCTACATGCATATTGTGAGTCTCTCTTTTTGATCCGGATGTACGCGGCTTGTCCGCTGGTGTAGAAAAAAGATTTCTCTCGTGAATGTTCTGTGGAAGTTTCATTGAAGTTGCATTGTACTTTCGACGACTACGAACGACAGAACCGGTAGAGATTATTTTGTGACATTATTCGCGCGAAGTTTATAAATTTTTTTAAAACATAATTACTTAAATATCGGACACTTTGTATATTACGCGTTAATATGATAATTGAATGTTGTGAGAGAAAAAAATCTGATACGCAGTGCGTTCGAAGGATATTTATCGTTTATTTTTCTGACTTACAGTACAATACTTATAACTTACGTGTCGCTTGTAATGTAATACGCGGATAATCGATATAGGTTCATACGTAACGATACGAATATAAAGATTACACGTTGTATATCTGGAATGTCTCGAGCGAAACGTTTTTCAGAGTTCATTTCTCCCCCCTCTCCCTTTCGCAAGGTCGATTTGATCGACACCATCATGTGATAACAGATTCGAAACATGAAAAATAATCAACAACAAAAAATGAGTGCCTTCGTCAATTATGAAATGATGACGTACGTCGAGTATGATTTCCTATTTCTATAATTACTATATATAAAATTATGAATTATTCTTAATTGGCCAAAATATATTCGCGAATAACAAATAACGATCTCGAATACGAAGAAACGATTTAACAATAAACTTATATAATTTTTTACATAAATATTTAATTAAAGCTAAAAATATCTAAATTGAGTAAAATTGTTACTCGTTATTCGCATAAGTACTTCGACCTACATATAAACAAAAACAACACAATACTTTGTACAATAAAAAAAAATTAATAAATATTTTGAATTTTACCGATAGAAAACTTAGAGGGCAACATTACTCGAGAATGTTGACGATGGAGAAAACGCGTGGAAAAGTTGAACGATCTTCCGCGGCAAATTTACACGGAGAAAAATTTACTAGTATTCATATATCGAAATTTCCCAACCCACATAATTTTTTCTCATTGACTGGAATCGTAAACACACCTGGTGATACTCGAGTTGACCAAAGTAATGTGACCAAAGTAAATAAACAAATTTGAAATTTACCAATATATACAGTTTATAATTCTTAAATTATAAGTAGACACTATGCAAATACACATAAATGACTTAGTATGCCACAATACAATAGGTCACTTTTTTCCTTCTCGACTTATCACCTTCTTTCTTGCCGACTCATCACCAGATGCGTTTAATGATCAATCCGAAATTATAGTCACTTAACGAAACTAATTTCTAAAATTTGTGCTAACCTACACAAATGTGGTCCAATCAACGTTTTTATTAGCGGTCTTATGATTAAATATATATCTTTAACCAATTGAGGGTTGAAGACAAACGAGAAAAAGATAAATCATTATGCCATCATAATGATCGAGTGTTCGCGATAGGTTTCCGATACCACGCACGCACACGATTCCATTTGTACTGCTTTCTCTTCAAGGACCACACACACGCACACACACACACACGTGCGGCCCTTGTGTGGGGATGGAGAACGTAAGAAAGCGGATTCGCGCGCGGAAACCCGGAACAGCCAAAGTTTTTGCTACACTATTTACACAGGGACTATGTACAATGCATTCTTAACACGTCTCGGTCAAGACTAGTCAGCCGACGACATAGCGGAAGTTCTCTCGGTCTTCGTTGCGATCTACAACAATGTTACGATCATCGTTGGTCGTGCTTTACCTTTCGGAACAGTCCGTTGGTCTGGTTGCTCTTCCTGCTCTCGCGCAGCGACATTATTGATCATATCCGTCACCAGGAAAATATTTGATTCTTTCTCTAGTCCTCTGATGAAATTCTTCCAGATCGATCAACGATTCTTTCACACGATAAACTGTTAAAATAATAACGTCGAAAATAATTTCTTCTTCAACTAAAATTGCATATGTGTATTTTTTAATTGCGCGTTTTTTTTTTTTAATGCCTTCTTCACAGCATCTTCTTGAAGTCTCTCAGTCAGTTATCTCGCGAAATCTTCATTTATTGCGCTTGACCCGCTCATATATTATAATTTCTTAAATATAATTGGCGCTTTCATCGAACAAAAGATACACTCCGGAAAGATTTCATCATTGGCGCACGTCAGTTAGTGGTAGTCGTTATACGATGAGAAGGTGACTACCTATTAGTCGTCGTCGGATAATTTGGCAGAATCCAGGGTATCCATCTAGTAAAATAAAGAGAACGTTTTCCTAAAACACTATCACACACAACGTTCCACTTTCATTTCGTGTTATCCGCCGTAGCCATGACAGTCCATTGAGATCCGCGGCATCTCCTTTCTTCTTCAGATGCGCCATTACCGCGTTCGGACAAAAGATGATATCTTCTGACAGCCGGAACTCTGACTGCTAAGATTCTCTCTCGGGCAGGTCCTCTGCCAGAGCGTCGTCGTCGTGTCGTTCTGCCGAATCCACGGTAGTGATCGCCTCACGACTCTCGACCGGGTTCACAGCAACTGTTCCTCGAAGATGGATCAGAGCTATGTTCTATCGGGTCAGAAGATGACTGTCAATGGTCGGCGGAAAGACTCGTTTCCCGGGGCCGGTGCCGTTTGATATCCACCGTACTGGCCCATTTGCGGGCCCAACAATCCGCCAGCCTGGACCGGTCCGGGATAGTACGCTGGTAGAGTTGCTCCAGGACTCGCGGCCGATGACGTGGACGTCGAGCTCGCGCTAGAGGAGGCTTGCTCCGCTCTTTCGTGCTGCTTGCTCGTGTCCGGCGACTCGGCGGCCGGTGACCTTGTGGGTCCACTTCCGCCGACGACGCTACCCGGGCTGGACTCCTCGTAGAGCTTGTTGGGCTCGTAGCTGGGTCGGTTGTAGTCGACGAGGGGCGGTTTCTGATCCATGTAGAGCTTCGACTGCTCGAAGTACGCCTTCGCCGAGTCCAAGTAGCTTCGGTCCAGATAGGTCTTGGGACTTGAGTCCAGGTACTTGGGATCCGGGTACATGCTCATCGCAAGACTGCTGGGCGGCATGTAGCGATACTTGTCAGCCTCCATCGAATATTTCATGGCGTCCATTGAGCTCACCACCTGGAACAGGAACGAGGGTTGCCGTGCAGCGATGCCGTGCTTCGTTAATGCGATATCGTTATATCTTTAGCTTTCTTTTCTCTATACTACAATCCCACGACTCCACGACATCATCAGCTCGAGAACGTCAAAATGTCATGTAGGAGAATTAACTTATTAATGAGAATTCTTTCGCGGAAGTGCAGCGTCGGACAGCAGAGAGAAATTCCCGATGAAATTTGGAGGAATTAGAGTCCTGTGCTAAATCGGTCTCTGCAAATCTCCTCGGTCGGGTCCTGCCGCGACCGGTCTTAGAAAAACAGACGTCGAAGACGCGACGGATCGCCGCGGACGGATGAAAAATAGGCGACAAAAGTCGAGAGTCGACGCATTCGATTCGGTCGGCGCGCAAATCGCGAAATCGGTGAATCCGCGACGCGACACAAGCCGGGAGATTTGTTCTATGTCGAAGACAACGCTGCCAATGGCCATAAATTTCGTCACGTTGGGCCAAACGCGCCTTGGACCGTGCTGCCGCGAATTGTAGAGGGAGACCGACCTCGAGAGACGGCCGTTTAAAAAAACGAAAGAGAAGGAGAAGGAGAGAGAGAGAGAGAGAGAGAGAGAAAGGCGAGAGAGAGAGAGAGAGAGAGAGAGAGAGAGAGAGGGAGGGAGAAGCAGCGCGCGCGTATTCCCGATTCTATAATTCGTGGACGAAGGAAGGACCGCGCGGGATCCTTTGTCGGATCGTTAAGCGGCTTTGTCCGGATGATTTACATCCAGTCTTAGCGATGCTAAGTCTCTCTCGTCCGCTACGACCAATTGATTACAGCTCGGCTCCTCTCGCCTCGAGAGACCCCTTTTCTCTGCGAATCGCAGCGGTGTTCAGAAATTAAAAAATTCCTCCTCTTCGCATGACGTTCTGATATTCGCATCGAGAGAATTCGATCGATTATCACGGCACGTTTATGTTTCGTCAACGTTGCATTAACGATTGTCACGTGCGATTCATCGGGTGTGACGCAAATGTATCGAGATTACTTGACGATGACAGTGTGGAGTGTTTTAAATCGTGGTCACGCTCTGTTTCGGAAATTTTAAACAATCCAGAAGCCAGAAGAAAAATGCGCCGATTGTGTTTATCTTGATGCTCGGTCGAATTCGTTTTCGAGCTTTATATCGACGCGATTATCCAGTTTGAAATCGATTTTAAATATCTTACCCTTGTCGAGAGACGAACGCGCTCGAAAGTCGCGCGAAATGGAATAAATCTTACACAGCGTGGATTTAAAAGTCTCACAAGACAACAGTCTGTTTATTGCGTAACCATTACGAAATCGTACATCCTACAGTTGTACGACTCTAAACGTTTGTTACTTTCTTTCTTTCGGACGTGTCTGTCATCGTCACCATCGCGTTGGTACGTCCTCATCTACGCCATTCGTTCTAGGAGACTTAATTATCCAGCACGATGTCGCTGTTAAAGCGTACAATGACACCGTATACCGTTCGCCTCTGTTTTCGCTCACAAAAGAGCGCCATTCTCCTTTCGCGCCATGTGTCGTCGAAGTCGAGAGCGAAAGAGAATGAGCGCACTTTATTTTCCAAATGGCCTCGAAGCGGTGGAAGAGTACAGAGAACGAGAAAGTCAACTCCCTCACATTGTCGCATTGTGTCACAGCCCTCAATATTTCAGTCGCTTCAATATTTCGTAAGAACTCGGTATCCTTCGGAAGACACGTTCGCGAGAGCGAGAGCGACGAAATGTAATTTCTATCTTTATTAACTTCGCGATGCGTAAGGGTGTGATTAGTTTTTGTTTGAGAAATTAATACGGCTCGTGATGAGGCCAGTCTCAGCGAAACCGATTAATTCTTGCTGCTGTTCAGTCGACTCCTCACCCTTCCTTGCGTGCGATTGACTGTGCCGTAAACTGGACAAAGAGTGATTTGATAATTGTTCGATCGAATCGAAGTGCGCTCAATTGTGATCGTGATTGATTTTGCTCTCCAGGTTGCTTACTCGAGAGTGCTCACTCGGCCTTTTTTTATCTTGGGTTTTTCCATCGGGAAGCTTGGTCCATTTGTCTCTCGCTAGCTAGTCGCTGCTCACTTTTGATGCTTTGGTTGAAAGAACTGTCGTCGCTTCATGAAGAAGCTCCACGTATGAAGAGAATCTTTACAATTTTTACAAAAAAAAAAAATGCCACTTCTCTTCTCCCTCCCTTCTCCTTTTTCCTCTTTAAATTTTTTCTCATCGTCCAGTTTTATAAGGATTAATTACACGTGCTCCTTTTCCGCGGCAGCTCGCGGTCAGAGTGTGGCGCTGAGCTACAGATAGGAAGAATTCGAACTCGGCTGGGTGAAGATAACGTTGGAATTCTTCAAGCGTGCCGCTCGCCGCCGCCGCCGGTGTTCACCAATAATGGTCGCTTGTATCGCGTCGGTGCGTCGTTCCAGACGCGTCGGCCATTCAGCCGTTGAATGCAGAAATAACTAGCTATCTGTTTGTCTCCCGTAGCCAGCTGCGGAAATTCATATACAGACCACGGTCTCCGGTTTCTGTTTGCGAAGCCACCCGGGGGCCCCTTTGTTGCAACAACGAATGAAACGTACCTACACTCATCCTCCCTCCCTCCCTCCCTCCCTCCTCGCCACCTTCCGCTTCCTCCCTCATCCTTCCTTTTCCTCCTCCTTCCTGAATCGACTCTTCCTCTCTCGCGCACGCGATCCATCTCCGCTTTTTCTCCTCCTTTTGCTTTATTTACGCGGCCGACGATCTGTCTCGCGGACTCGATACGTTCAGTCGCCAATTGTCTTCGAGATAAATGGATTTGTGATTGTGACTTTGTGACGCGGTAAAATGCCGGCCGCACTTGTGAGTTAACGTTGCTATAGGGATAGAAATATCTCCACAAAGGGACGAATCATTAATTCGATTCGCTCGGGAGATTTCATATTTCAATCCAATTAAATGTCCATGCCGAGTCAAGTCAATGGGTCTCCGCGGGAGCCTCGATCTTCCGAGGAATTATCTTTTCTGCGTCTTTAACGGACGCAGTCTCGCATTCCCGCATAATCCATGCGTTCCATGGCTTCCTCATCGCTCTTATCGCGGAACAGTTCTCGTTTGCGTTTTCCGCCCCCAAGGGGCCTCATCATCAAGTAAACGTCTCAGCATCAGCTGAGCTTGCCTTCCGCCTCGATACCACTTGCGTACACCCGTCTGACTCGTGCGACTAAATCGTGCGTAATGAAAGTATGTATCTCCGAAGTAGTCGCCATTCGATGCCGCGGCCGTGTGTGTATGTGTGTAAACTAGTGTATTCTCGTATTACCGTATCCTCGTGATAACTTTCATCTCGATGCAAAATACTCAACATACGACGACGACGGTGCAATGATGTGCTTCGAGCGACGGTGGATGACCGTCGCGCCGCGCCGCGCGGAAATCAGGCCTTGCCCAAGCAAGGCAAGGATTGAGCGCGAGGTCGTTCACCGGACGCGTCAACTGGCCGGACAACGTTGCAATGTTGTCTCTAGGCACGCTGTACTTGTCGTCGCGTACGTATCACTCGCACGAAAGAAATATCGACTTACTTGAGCAGGTGCCCCGAGACCGGCGGACATGGCGGCAGCCGATTGTTGTGCAGCCGCTGCCGCAGCCGCAGCCATGCTGGCCGCCGAGAGGGGGCCGTAAGCTGCCGCAGGGCTGTAATAGGAGCCCATCCCTGCCTGTCCCATGCTACCGGCCATCCCTGTAACATTACAGCACACACGGGCATTCGTAAATAAGACGCCGGCAATTTATGGGCACCGTCGCCTTTAACGGTGCGACGTATTAATTAGCGAGTCGCGCTTGCGTAACGACGACGACGACGACGACGACGACGAGGATGAATTGCGCCGCGATCGTTCGTTATCCTTTGCAGGATTTGTGCGCGCGCTAACAATTAATATGCGATACGCGACGTCCCGTCGCTCGCCGGAGGGCCGCGAGAGCTGCTCTTGGGGTTAACTGTTCGCCACGCGACCTGCGTGTTAAATTACGACGATCCGCGGTGTTGGTAGGCTCTTGAGGAGCAGACGCTACCGGTGAAGGTCGCTGAAGGTGTCCGTTTGATGCTCGTCGTTGGAACGCGTATTTGGATGCGTGTGTCGTGCACACGGAGTGCGCATTTGGGATTTAGGTAATGGGTGATTTGGTAATCGCGCATTTGGAGAGTCGCGATTACCGGCGGTGAAAAGAGGTGGGCGCTTAACGAATAGTGCGCGATTATTCTTGTCCTAGGATGAGAATCCGCTGGTTCTTCCTTTCGAGGCTCGACAATGAGCGGTAATGATCATGGGGCATTTTCGATGGAGATTTATATCTCCGGGTCCAACGGGTGTCCCCTCTCCTTTTGCCGTTTTGCACGTTTTGCCGTTCGTTTCGGGAGAGGGAGGGAAAGAGGACGAGCGTGTACCTGGTGGCTTATCGATCATCGACAAAACCTTCGACGAAGCTCCATTGTCGAGCGACGACGATAGCGAGCAGGAGACGTCGCTCATGCGCCTCATTCCAGCGTACCTAACCCGAAGGAGGATGATTGGCGTTGAGTTCCCCGAGATTTATGATCGCCGATGATGCCTGAAGATCGCCAAAGGCGAGATGGGCATATTGAGGATTGAGATGCGGCTCGATTGTCGAGTTCTAGCGCGTGGGCGCGAGATAATCGCGTAAAGTTCCTGTCGGGACTCTCTCGCTTCGTCGTCGTACTTTGTGAGCCAGGCGAGTACTTTGAGGAAGGAAAAAGTTACATCGCGATCGCGCGACTCTCTCTCGAGCGATATGAATATTTGTTTGTGATTGAAGTAGCACGTTCGAATGTTGCTTGTCGTTTCCACCTGAGTCCAAAGAGTGAGATAACGGCTAATTAGCGTTCTGGAAGTGACTAAACGATCGTTTTTGCGGCAGCAGTCTCGGTCGGGTATTTAGTCGGTCTCTCTTTGAATCATCCATCTTTTCGATTAAGAGAGGTGTTAATCAGACGCGAAGCGTTTTGTTTACAGCATCTGTCGATTTTGACTTATCCGCCTTGCCTCGCTGGTAGAATTTCGAGAACAGATGTTCGATGAATCGAGCTTGGTACGCGCGAGTCCCCTCGGTTTGCAGAGATTTGTTTGCCGTTCCTGGGTCGCTATTGTTTTCATTGCGTCGCGTCTCGTACCGGATTACGTAATTTTGAATTTCCGTGCCGGACGAAGGCGCGAGAGACACAACGTGATTACTAAGTCTAAATATTTTACGCGTGTCGTGACCGTGTTGTATGTGTGTGTGTGTGTGCGCGCGCGCGCGCGCGCGTGTGTACGCGCGTGTGTCGCAAGTTGTCGCATTATAATTCAAACGCAAACACAAAAGATTCCGCCGTGCGACGTCGTTTTCTCTGCTCGGCAAACCTCGCTTTTCGTGTTTCGAAACTCGCCAGTTCGTATGGTCGCGTAGTCTTCAACGTGCTACATATCGCTGTACATTCAGCGGATACATATCGCTACGTACATACAGCGTGTGTGATCCTTATTTTCACGTCTCCCGTCGGAGAGGGAAATATATTAATTATTTCGGTATATTCTCGTGTATCATCCACCATTCACTTGCGGATTCTCCCGGGCGAATTTCACGCTCTCCCCAGAGCGCGATAAAAGTGTCATACTCGAATTTTTCTCCGTTTCACGCATGACGACGTTCACTTGAAATTCGCCGAGAATTTGGTTCAACCCGGGCTGCAGCTAGCTGTATTAAAAACTACCATTCAGCCTTCCGATTCATCCTTTTGATACTCATATATTTGAGGAAATTTCGGTTTCTTTTTTTTATTCGTGCACGTATTATCGCGCAAATCGATCTGATATCTCTCGGGGACACAAGCGGAAGGGAGGCGGGGAACGTTGGAATAAATCGTCGAATAATTCCCTTCGGCGCGGCAGGGCCGTACTTTGCAGACCGTGTTCATTCGAGGATTCATTGGACTCACGCACGCGAGCGCATAAACATGTCGCTGGCTCATTATTTATCGAATTGTCTTAAGCTCCCGCGGCATTATGCGAAAGTCCGCGACTCGGTGGTCACGCCCGCAGGCCAGGAGTACGTGACTCCACGGTTACTCGCGATCGTAAATCCGTCGTTCGTTAAAAACAAGGACCATACGTTCCTGGGGTGTGTTTACCCGGCGATAATTTATAAGATTCGGGGGGGATACGCGCTTCCCGTTTCCTTTTCCTCGTCGCGTACCTCTCGCGATTTCGTCTGTGCGCGCGCGCGCGCGCGCGCACCTCGGGTGGACTTAATTATCGCTCTTATTGTACCAAAAATTTACGCCAAAGTCTCAAGAGGTGCTTCGCACATTGTAATTTTAATAAACACCTTTGACTTTCCCGTGGCAGTCATTTCATCGAGACAGAAATTTACTTCTCCTGCGTCAACTGTGTCAATTCGATTTATTTTTCCGAGTTACGGGATTGTAATGACGATTAGTACAACAAGTCAACCGTGCAAATGTAGTAAATCGTGATCTCGCGCGGGATTTCGTATTAACATGAGAATTAGCAGTTTCGCGCGTTGTCCGAGGGGGCGAATTTCCGGTTAAGGTCCGTCCTTAATTTTCATCCTTAAGGAACGACCAGTCGCATGCACGAGCGGAAATTCGAGTCGGGGTCCCAGCTTAAGGCGGTAATTTATCCCAGCCACCCACGCGCTTGTCTTATGCGCGTGCCACCGTGTAAGTTCGGTCAAGAGCGAGGAGCCAGGAACGGCCGAAGGGAAGGGAAGAGAAGAAAAAAACGGGGCCTGTGGGAAAAAAGGAAACATGGGACAGTTTGCGATGATGTGCTTAAAGCGAACAAAAGAATGGAAACATCTTCCTCCTTTTTGCGTGAAGGTCTAACAGAGCGGAGTCAAGGCTACTTGAGCGAACGCGAAGTGACCAGAAATAACTACTCTTTGTGACGATGATATTTTGCAATTCAAAAAGAAATTCCTCTCTCTCTCTCTCTCTCTCTCTCTTTGGAAACAAATCTTTCCTTAAAGTTGGCGCGTGTGTTCACGCGAGGTGGACTTTTGTGTTATCTCTGACACTCTGATAATTTGATTTTACATTATCATAAGTATGTTTTCTTCTCCTGGACAGCGAAATTCCGCAGGAATTTCAATTCATACCTGAGTAGAAATGCACAAAGAGAAGGGAAGGGCGTCTGTGAAAGGAGGGGGCGACGGAGGAGGAACACACGGAGGAGAGATACAAATGAGAGCATGGTAGTCCCCCGCGCCCGATAAATCGGAGATTACCGATCGCGGCTTTTCGCGGGGAGGTCGCGTGGGCGTCGGGATAAATTCCGGCTTTAATCGCGGCATCACCATTGCCGGAATTAATAATTTCTCGAGCGCGAGAACTTGCGTCTGGTCTGGTGACGGATATCCGTAAACTCGCCTACGCGAATGCGAATTACACGACGATGAATTACAAAGCAGACGCGGCCGCGCGCAGCGTAACGCAAAACGAACTTTCGAATGTCATCTTGAATGTCACGCTGAAGATGTGATAAACCGCGAGGAAATCGCGACAGTGAAAGCATATCATTAGTGTCTCACTATCTGGGCACTTCCTTCAATTCCGGAAACATCGTCGTCGAAATCACAGGGGCGCGCTCTTGGAAAATTGGAAATTAAATATGTAATGAAAGAAGACCGTCCCCCGCGCTATACAATTTACAAGTGATGAATCAACAGCGGCTGCGGCGATTTCATTTAAACGATTAATTAATACTGGCACCGCGATCAACCGCTACGAATAATTGCGATACAGGATGTCCTCTAATTCGGAATTGGTCAGACAATTCGCGCGCGAAACAAGCGGCGATATTTGTAAAACATGTTGCGTATGCACTCGTTACTTTTAACAATGTTATTATTCATATACACTCGGCTAATAAATAAATAAACGGGTGGCGAGTTTGTTTACATGAAAAATACGCAGCTTATTATGATGTAATGCTGATAACGCTTCCGCGCGCGCATGCGGCCTTTATTACAGCGCCACAGAAAGATTGCAATTATTGTTAAATTCCAAATCGCTGCGTTCGTCACGCATAATACATTCGCGTCTGCATCTCGTATTAATTAAACAAATTGGTAGCGCGCCGTGCATTTTCTGTGTTCTTGCCGCTTTTGCACGCGCGCTCGGTTCCATTATGCCCGCTCAATTGTCACAATAAACTAACCAGACGTGACGTCAACAGAGGCGCAAGTGTTCGGGCACGAGTGTTTACGCAATTGCAGGAGGTGCAATATTTGCAACAACACCTCCACGCGCCACTTTGTCGCATTGCTGTGCAACGAGGCGATCGTCATCAAAACCGCCGGCAGAAAAGTAGACGTGGGAAATAGCAAAAACGAGGGCAGCGACAACGAAAAGTCAACCTTTCATACGTCTCAAAATAATGAATCGTTTCTTCCGCGCGCGTTTTCTTCTTTTCTTTTACTTTTCTTCTTAAGTGACGTTAAATGTATAAATATGATAAGTATCGTCACGTAAAAATAGCGTCGATAAGTTGCTGATTGAATTAAATGTACAAGAGATTCTTCTACAAAAGAACTCGGGGAATCTCCGCGAATTCGGACTGTCGGTGTATAACTAAGCGATCTATAATCGTTAGTTTCTTCGCAATATCTTTACAATGATTTTCCAAGTCGATAATCTTTTTCAAGCCAATCGCTCCTTTTAACCGTAGATCACCGATGACAGGTTACCGAGCGCTCGCAAATGCAGGCTGAACGTCGAACGATAGACGATTTGATTTCAAATCATATATGCATATCTCTTTTGAATAAATTTCGTTCGGGCTGAATTGTTATACTCATTTGTCATCCGTTGTCGGGACAAATAGCACTGAGTTTATTTGCAATACGATATTTAGTCGCGCATAGTCCACGGTACGGTTACATCGTGAGTGTTATTTCATGCAAATGAAGGTGTCGCGCGATTGTTGCTTAGGAGCAAGTGTTTTCGAGCCTCGTTATTCTCGTGGCCGAAATGATGACGTTCGCGTGCCGAAGGTAATAATCACTAGCAACTGATAATTGAATTAATCTCACCTGCTCGGAGGGCGTCCATGGGCACGCTGGGGTATGGAATACTGTACGGGTAGCCTTCCTTGCGCAAGGTCTTGGGTTTTCTTCTTGGTCTGTATTTGTAATCCGGGTGTTCCTTCATGTGCTGAGCACGTAACCTCTTCGCTTGGTCGATGAAGGGACGTTTCTGCTCCTCCGAGAGAAGTTTCCATTCCGCACCTGCGAAAATAAATTTCAATATTGTGACTAATAATAAGGCATATCGCAACGGTACGTATCATTCGAGTGAGACGTATAACTGACGATGTATGGGACGGCTCTTTCTTTACATTACTCCGTGACATTCTCGCAATTTCGCTGACCGGGGGGGGGGGGGGTAGTCGCGTCGAGTAGTCACCTTCCGTCTAAACAGTCGCTTTATACAGAATCTTTGATGTCGCGAGAGAAGCGCGCGAGCATTTTCTCTGTCGACCAGGTATTTGCGAGTCATTTGGATAGAAGCATCGATCGTTCTGTAAATATTGCATTCTAAATTCATGCATTCGGATATAGTCGCTTGGAATAATTCGTTCAACGTCCCACAGTCATTTCCCACAATTATCTTCATTAATGTGTGATTAAACAGTGATTATTACCACATGTGATTAAACAGCGGTTAAACAATGGTGACGCCAATGTTTGAGAACTGTCAAAATTCGGCAATTCGAGGAACAAATATTTCAGAGTGCGGGATATATATTATCTTTCGCTGGTATGCACACATTAAAAATAGAGAGGATCACATCACCGTGTAGTCAGCACGGTGGCAGTACTTTGTACCGCCGACAGTTTAATACTCATATGCGACGAGCGCTTAGAGCCTTGAAAGAATATCTACGGAAGGACTGCGTCCGTTGAGGGGAAGGACGAATCGCAGAACGTTTTTAACCCCTTCGCTGCCCCCTTGCGTTCCCGCCCGGCAGGGCGGGCTGATTGTTTTGCGCAGAATTAATTACCACTTGTTGTCGAGCGTCGCTGAGGCGCATACAAAGCGCAAAGCCCCGGCTCTGGCATCCTGGAAACGGAATTCGCTGGTAGCAAGGTGCGACACCAACGCCAACGCCCGAGGTTGATGCAACGGCGAAACAATACGCTCGGGGTTGCACCGCGACGTCGCCAACAATGGCCGCCACGACGAGACATCGACGTCGCGACGCGCTGCAAAGCTTGCAGCTGTTTACGGACTGGAGATTTATTTCACCGAGAATATTCGGCCGCGAGACTTTGTCATTTGAGAAATGAAGAGAAGCCCGAAAAAAGGTTGCGGAGATTAGATGTGTTCCCGTAAATACCCCGAAATATTCCGATTTATCTGCTTCGGATTTTTCCCTCTCAGAGAGTACTTCTGCTAATGAACATTTCTTTTAATTTTCGTTGCTGAGTACAAGTAAAATGCATCAATTTGAACGCATGACTCAAGGTTACACGAGAGAGAAACCACTCGCGGAGTCACCGAAAGTGATTGTTTCGTATTCCCCGAGTTTCACATAAGAAGGAGCTTTGATATCTTCTGATATTTTTCCTTTTCTTTCGTATAACTTGACCAGGATTACTAGACGCCGGCTGAGGCGAGAAAATCTCCGGGAGAAAGGAGAGAAAGTAATATTCTGAACCATTGACAGGATGTAAGTTCCGTCCGTGCAGGATAGAAATTTGTGATGGTGTAAGAGATGGTAAAGAGAGAAAAGAGAAAAGGGGAGGAAAAGTTTAACAAAATAAAATTTGAGTGAAATTAAGTAAGATTTGGAAACGGCAGCGAGGAAGGAAGAAAGGAAAAGAGGAACTGGAAAAAGGATATAAGAAGAAGGAAATAGAGATCGCTTCTTAGACAAGCTGATAGGAAACTGATAAAATTATTTAAGAGCTGACAAGAAAGTAGAAAGCCGTGGATTCACTCTGTGCTTCCCAAAATCTGTGCTTTTTCTATTTTTTTACTGCAATTATACTCGAGGCAAAAATTTAAGTCACACGAATCATCATTAAATGCGATTCATGCTCAATTCCATTGTTCTTTTCTGTTTGCGAATACTCCGCGTCATATTTTCAATGCTCCAAGTCATAATCAGCTCATAAGTTGCTGTCAGACGTGTCATCCAAATGCTCCTTGTCATATTTTGTAGCATTATGTCATGCAAGAGCTCTTTCGCGGAAAGAGAGATGAATGCTCTAAATGCTACCTTAGTTATAAATGCTCAAAATGCTCCTCGTTAAAAAGATTAATAAAGAATTAATATTTTATTTAAGATTTTATATTTTACATTTTATTTGGTTTCAGTTTTACAAATTAAATTTTAATTTATATTTCTTTTGTAGATACGTACATACATACATACATACATACATACATACATATATATATACATATATACATACATACATACATACATACATACATACATACATACATACATACATACATACATACATACATACATACATACATACATACATACATATATATATTTCTATTCTATTTCATTTGAATTTACTTGTTCCGCTAAGAAAATCTGATCATTGATAGATATGTAATAAATCTTTCGTTCTCGAGGAGGGAAAGCTAGAAAATACAGTCGAGTTTAATATTTTTGCTTATATATTTATTCTATTGAGTAAGAACTACCACATTTATCAAATATTAAAAAAAATTTTAATTAATTATTACTATTTCTTTTTTATAAATGTGGTATCTCTAGCTTCAATAGAACAGCATATAAGTAAAAATATAAACTTGGCTGTATTTTTCTGGCTCTTCTCCTCCTCGGAAACGAAATGTGCGATACCAAAATTTTGAGCACAAGGAGCATTTGTAACTTTTATCATTAGCAGCATATGGAGCACATAGAGCACGTGGAGCACGAAATTCTGGACAAGAAAGTAGAATTTTGAGAACTCATAAGTGCTCTAAAGTTGTATTTGTTCAAAAAGTAACTTTTGGAGCACTGGCTTTTCTAATATATTATGAAATGAAGGAATGCTATAAATGCTACGCCTATCTTTTGAGTATTTGTATGACATAAGTTTTTGCCTCGGATATCCTTGGTGGCAACAATAACGGAGTATAGTGGATTTTAGATGATGGAAGTTACATACAATGAACCCCAAAGAAAAATGTCAGCAGGTAGTGAATAAGAATTTTAAAAATCTCATTTCCTGAAACAATAATGTGTCGATAACGTTGCGCGCTTATCGAGTTTTTGTCATTCTTAAGAATAAAAATTTCCCGTGAGTTCAAAAATGCATTGGGGATTTCTGATGACTCCAGTTTCTCTTATTTCACATTTTTTTGTATTTATACACACTCTCTAAAAATGAATCAGTGAAATTCATTGTCAATCAGCGATTATGCACTGACAATCAGTGCATAATCGCTGATTGACAATGAGTTTCACTGATTCACTTTTACAGAACAGATATGAGAAAGAATGTCATGTATCGTAGACATTATAGTTACATTTATAGGCTTTCTCTCTCTCTCTCTCTCTCTCTCTCTCTCTCTCTCTCTCTCTCTCTCTCTCTATCTAGGTACTCAAACCTAATACTACAAATTTTCAGAAAGAGAATATGTAGGAGTACATACATGAGATACCACTCATGGTGACTTTCGGTATTATTTAAGATTGCTTATGTTCACTCATTCATCTTTGAGACCATTTTCTGGAGATACAAGGGATATTTTGGCGAAGAGTAAAATATTGTGCAGATTCCATCGTCGGATAAAATCTGAGAGATGATAGTCAATATTGATCATCGATCATCAATTAGCCTTGAATAGATCTTATCTAGAACTATCGTGAAGTTTGAACCGTGTAAATTCGCTGACGAAATCATAAAACGAAGTAACTTCCGGTCGCGCGAAGGGGATAGTTCTCCTTTCTATTTATATTACGGCTTATCCAATCGATACATGTTTTCCCGTCTGAAAGGCAGGTGGCACGGTCGAACAAGGGAGTGAGAGAGAGAAAGAAAGAGTGAGAAAGAGAGAGAGAGAGAGAGAGAGAGAGAGAGAGAGAGAGAGAGAGAGAGAGAGAGAGAGAGAGAGAGAGAGAGAGAGAGAGAGAGAGAGAGAGAGAGAAAGAGAGAGAGTGAGAGAGAGAGAGAGGAAAGAGGGGAAGAGACGGATGGTGAAGGGCGGCGTGGGGTTCGGCGTATTTGTTTAGAACAAAGGCTTCCCGGCACTGATGGTATTAGTAGGTTGGCATTCGCGGGCAATACTCCTTCATTCTCTCTTTCCTTCTTTCTGGGACCGACGACGATGACGACAACGACGTGGAGAACGACGACGACGGCGACGAGGACGACGACGAGGACGAGGACGAGGACGAGGAGCAAGCTTAAAGCACAATGGCGCCTGCTTTTCAGTCCTTTCGCCGGCGGACAATGCCGTTTATTTAACATCGTTTAAAAGTACAAAGCCTGTTAATTAATGGACGGGGGCGGTGGAGAGAAGATAAAGAGAAGAAGCGGGCGGGAAAGAAAAGGAAGATGAGCAGGATGGCGTGGCGTGGCCGTGACGTTGCTCTCGTTTTCACGACACGACCAACGTCGATGAAGGAAGCCGATAAAGAATAACGTCGATTGGCTATAGCCGTTATACTTCGGGATAGTTTATTATTTAACTCGCGAGCCTGGCCGAGAAACGATCACCCGACGATCGTTTTTGGTAATTCGACTTGTGACAGCTCACGCAAGTGCTGACTTTCGGGGGGGGGGAAAAAAATTGCCATTCGAGACACACGGGAACAGAAGATGGCGAGACGAAGGGGTGGCGATGCAGCTACTGCACCGCCGATCGATCGGTCTTCCCCACCAACTCTTCCCCACCGGACTTATCCTCGACGATGAAACGCGGAAATTGGAAAACGTTTCCTGCATTTCCTGCTGGCAGGGGAAAGGGGGCTTGACGACTTGGAGCACCGAAATCAACCTTGCGTCGTCGGGATTACGTGAGGAAACACGTCAGGTGTTAAAAATTTTATCGATGACTAGCGAGACTTTTAGCGAGTGAGCTATGTTCCAGCTTACCGATTATTCGTATTTATATTTGTAGTATCTATATTTGAAAACTATAGTTGCTCAGAAACAACATGTATTATTATTATATATACGGCAAAGTATTAGAAAGAATATGTTATATAAAATATAAGTCACAAGAGAGAGAGAGAGAGAGAGAGGGGGAGAGAGAGAGAGAGAGAGAGAGAGAGAGAGAGAGAGAGAGAGAGAGAGAGAGAGGGAGAGAGAGAGAGAGAGAGAGAGAGAGAGATACTTATCAGACTTTAAACTATTACACATTTAAATTCTATACGGTATCGATAATCTTCTCGATATCAGGACTCACGATTAGCATTACGTTTTTATATTTCATTTTTTATCATGTTATAAAAATAATAGAATATCGCGTGCGCGCGCGCACGTGCCGCTGACACAATTAAACTGACAGTAAATGCAAACGGGTCTAGCGTAACGTTAGAAAGACATTTTTCATCGGATAAGCGTGTCGCGTGTTCGACAATAGCGCGGGATTTCATTAAATACATTCATTTGCTGGCAGCGTGCAGTATAATTACGTTGTTAAATAAAGCAACAAAGTTAAAAGGAAATCCCATCTCGAGTCCTCCTCGCGTGCCACGCTAATAGCGTTTACCTTTTCTTATGACGCGAGACAATGGTGCCGTTATTCTCGTTACTGGCGTCGTATCGTGCCAATTAAGAAGATGCCTCGAAGGCGTACGTATTATTCGTTACAGCTGATTCAAGGCCTTTTTCGCGGCGGTGCAGTCTCGCCTTCTCTTCATGGTAGACATGATCCCAGTGTATCTTTGGTGATTTTACCAACGGGTATCTCAAGACAAAACACATTTAATGTACGATTATTTTACGTTAGAACTTTAACCCGATCATCGTTCAAGTCGAGAGAGAGAGAGAGAGAGAGAACTTTACGGTGGAACACCGATTTCTTACTTTACTTATTATGCGATATCGATATCGCGAGTTATAATGACGTCACACTCGGGTGTTATATCGGCGGCTTGAAATTTTGGATCGGCGAAAACTATAGGAAAATCTCGCGACTGCACTGCCTCGTCTCCTCAATCTTTCCTAATCCTTTCTGCGCGCAGTTTGTCGCAGAATTCACACAGAGAAAACAGGTTTCACTCATAAGTCTCGAAGTGGAGCAGGGAATTCTACCTTTGTGACACAAAGAGCGACCGGTGGGCGGTTCAAAGTAGTGAGAGCTTTCAAGGGGGTGGGAGCTTTAAGCTCGCTCTCGGGGACGATCATTTTTAATCACGCGCACACGGCCATACGGCCGGGGGAAGGGAGGGAAAGGAGAGGACAAGGATGCGCGTACGTATACCTGCACGCGTTTTGTACACCGCCTTTGTAACACCCGACGTCATTGTCTTCGCGATTCTATAGGTAAGCGTAGCGTCAGGGTTCTCCACGAATTATTCCCCTTCTCGCGAAGCGAGTCCTACGGAGCTCCTTGGACTGAACGATATCGGAACTACTTTCGCGAGAGATTCGATGGGAAATTGAGCGATGACGCGCGCGCGTTCTCGATCAACCGCGGTAATGTAATTGTTTTTCTTTCAGTCTTCGTGTTTGTTAGTCTCGACGGGAAGCAACGCGGATAATTACTGTCAAAAATTGCTATCGTGGATATCGGCTGTCCGCCTGCCAGACGCCACGAGTTCACCACGAGGGTTCAATAAGACAGTTCAAGTAAATTCATTTTCTAAGAATAATTTTCTACATCCATAGGATGGACATCCTGTGTCCTTTTTTTTTTTTGGATCTTTAATGCGGAGATGTTTGCAAAACCGACAAGTCGTTCCTTTAACGCGTTTGAAAGAAGTTGCTGCCTCCTCTCCAAGGTTCTGGCAAGCGGCAGAAATACTTCATTACGATGAAAGCTTCTCCCGAGTCTCTTCTTCTTCAAATTCACCCTCACCACCCTGTCGTGTGTTTATACACCCTCTATTCCTCTCTCGTTCCGCCCTCTTTGTGAATTCCTCTCTCGGGAGTGTTTGCACCGCGTGCGTACGTGCGTGCGTGCGTGCATGCGTACGTTTTTACGTCGCAACATTGTGCGGGGAATAGTTGTAGATAGATGAATTGGGACCGGAGTGGAGAATGTCTTCGTGATCGACCTGGAGAGGAGAGGATCAACAACGTCGGAAAAATCAATAGAGTGTTGTAAGAAACAAATAAAATGAGATTGTTCCCACACTTGGAAAATTATTTCCAACAAACAATTTCTTTGAAAACACTATTAGTATAGTGTGTGTTGTAAGTTTCTTTAAAAACACTATGATAATTTTTCCAATAACTCTTGGCACATGCTTTCATCGTGCGTTCGCTGTTAGAAATTCAGTGGCATGTTTTTAATATGTAAGTTTCTTGAAATAATTTCATTTCGAGTTTCCACTTAATCTCGTTGGTTGCTTATGTGACCTTTATTTTGTTTTGATGTCTCGTTCGGAATTGCCATCACTTTCAAAACGCTCGAGCCATTTGCTCGAGTGGACCCTCGAAGACGAAAGGCGCAAGGCTTGGACAAGCAACTTGCACAACAGGAACGTTACAGCGAGGTCCAATAACTAGATTAGCTCTAAGCATCTCCCGACAGAGCACTCACTTTAAAGAACTCTCGCCCCTCATCCCGCGATTACCTTCCTTCAGGATACATCTCTAAGCATACTCCGGGTGTCGTGAAACGTAGCGAATTGCCCGACCGGAAGATAAACGCGCGGGTTGCCATCTACTAATTGATGCAATAAAACCGGGGGCTGTTTTATCACACTCCCGAACCGGAATTATTCTGGTCATTTGCGTTAATGGCGAGACGCGAAGTGTTCATTTCGACGGGGAAAGTGTTCGGCCAGAATTTCGTACAACCGATAATAAAGCTGCTGGACGAAACAGCGATATAACCATCAAATTCCAAACACTAATTTCAATTCGAGAGAAATACCGAAGATTTTGGTGAAAATATAAAACGTTACAGTTCTGAACATTTGTAGCTTTAAGAATCGACACGTTTGAAGCTCAGAGAGAGAGAGAGAGAGAGAGAGAGAGAGAGTTTTAAAGATTCATAATTATCTCAAAACGTTTCCCAATTTTGTCATTTTCCGCGGGAAATATTTGGAAAATATTTTCCGCGGAAAATATGTTCAGTATCTCAACACGTTATATTGACACGCTTCTTTCGCGACTCTTTCAACGTGTTTACGTGCCCAATTATGCCGTAAACATTGCGGCCTATTGATTAAAGAATACGAAGTTTGACATTCCGCGTACTCCGCGCCCGCTAAATTTCGACCGACAGGTAGAGAGAGCACACGATCACAGTTCTCCGTCGTCTTGCGAAGAAATTTCGCATAAGAGGAGGAAAGGGACAAAATTTGTGAGTGTCGCGACGAGGTTGGATGTGTATGATCTAGAAATATGCTTGACGGCGAAAGAGCGACGGAAAAGTGTCGCAGCGACAAAAGAGGAAACGTGGAGGAAGAAGTGTGGGGAGAATAAGGGTGGCTATGGAGGAGAGAACGAGAGAGGGATGGGAAATAGAAAGGGGGTGGTACGTTGAAGGTTTGAGCGTGCGCATCATTTTTACCGAGAAGGAGGAGAAGGTGGAGGACGAAGAGGTGGAGGAGGATGAGGAGGAGGAGACGCTTCCCTTATTCGTCGTCGCCGGGGAAACGAAAAATGGGGGATAGACGGAGCGAGGCGAGGAAGAAAATGACGGATAAAAGAGCTCGAGGGAGTTGCGGAAGGTCCTTTGTCGACTGGGGTATTTAACGGAAATACTAGGCGGAATATCTTCGTGTCGTGTTCCGTCGGCGCTAAATCACGCGGATGTGTGCACGAAGTCGTTTGTAGAGAAAGGGACGAAAAATACGTCATGACAGGACGATAGTCTCGATCGTTTACTGGACATACCTCTCCCGCGCGTTGGCTCTTTTAAAACCACCTTTAATCGGGGTCTGTCCTTTACAGAACGATTGATGTGTAAGATACGTCGCTTGTTTAGACATTTTCTGGTTAGGGGACATTGTTTCACTGATTTTCGAGAATGTAGGAGGAATGTCACACATTTCCATACATTCACACGCGACACGCGTCCCGCGATAATCATAATCACTTACCGAGTCTCTTGGAGATCTCGCTATTGTGCATCTTGGGATTTTCTTGTGCTATCTTCCGCCGCTGCAACCGTGACCAGACCATGAAGGCATTCATCGGTCGTTTGATGTGTTCCGCTTGTACTTTCTTGCCTGCTGGGCCGAGTGGGCTACCGAGTCCAACCCCCATAGGACCGACACCGGCGCCTGCCGTTGGCGACGTTCCCGTCATACCCTGCATAGTGCGCAAGGTTTCCGTGAAGGAGCCGTCGCACATGTTGCCGCCGGCTCTGTAAATTAAAACAGCTACTATTTAGCAACCCTCGTTAGACTGATCAGTCCAAAAATGGCACACATAAATCACAAGGGATGAGGGTGGTCAAGAATGACAAAGGTAGAAAAGATCTTGTCATCGAGTGACCTTTCGGTTCGTATAACCGGTAGGCAATATCCAGAAACCCCGCTGGGGATTTCAACACGCGACATACTAAGATATTAATAGGAATTAGCAAGTGTTATCTGAAGCGTTAATCACACAGTTCGTTAGCAAATTTCTCGGTTATTAATTCATGGCCTTCATTATATGTTCACTAATTGTTTGGTATCAATTAATCGCCTACATTTTCTCTTCAAATTCTACTCGTTGACTCGCTTCAGCTAGTCTATTTTTGACGCATTACGTGTGTGATATTTGTTAATACTCGGTGAGCTCACACGTCTTTATTTCAACAAGAAGTTGCTTAAGACATTGTCACTTAAGAATGTTCCACAAAAGTTACCATTATATGCCTAATATGATGTAATGTTATATCTAATTGGCAGCGGTATGTATATACTGCATAATAACCAATGGTTATTGTAGTACAAAGTCATGCGACACGTTAATTCTCTTAGCGCGTAGTTCAGTTTTTGTGGTAAGCTCTGTTAACATTCGCGACACATCGTATACGTTTGTTACATAGGACGATTATTTTATCAGCGTACATACACAAACATACACAACTCCTTATTTTTCTTATCTTTCCCTGTGTTGCGGGAGTTGGCAATTTTCAATTGATAAATCGCAACTGTATCGTTCTTAAAGGTCTCATGCGTGCGGTCGGGGCCTAACGAGGTGAGAGTGGAAGAGAGCTCTTTTCGCGGCAGCGGCGCTACATAATTGCTTATTCGTTCGCCCTCCGATTCATAAGCAAATTGATCTTATCCTTTTCTTCGTATCAAAGCCATTAACCAATCTCGGCACGTTCCGCGCGCTGTCTCGTTCTTCATCCTCTACCCTAAACGTCATCCCCGCGGCCAAAGGGTGCGCCGAACGACTCACTTCTCTCCCTCTTCTTTCTCTCCTCCCGCGCTCTTTCTCCCTTTCTCTCTCTCTCTCTCTCTCTCTCTCTCTCTCTCTCTCTCTCTCTCTCTCTCTCTCTCTCTCTCTCTCTCTCTCTCTCTCTTTCTCCTTCTCGCTTCGACAGCCCTAGCTTCTCGAACTAACACAATTACCGCACTGAATCTCCTTGAGCGTTCGTTAAAAAAAAAAAACCTGTAGTGGTCTGGGGGATTCGGTGAGTAGGGGGTGGCGGGAGCAGGAAGAAGAGGAGAGGAAGGGGTAGTAGTTAAGATTTTGTAGGGTTAGGATCATCGTCCCTGTACACACGTTGGGGGAGGCAAGGGGACAGCCAGAGAGAGAGCGAGTGCCACCCTCAAGTGTCATTCAGTGCAGATTAATAGATACGTCGGTTAGGCGAAGCTGCAAGGGGTGGAACAACCACCCCGTCATCATCGTTTCGCGGTGTTTGGGGTGTTCTCTGAGAGTACCCTCCTTCCTCTCTCTCTCTCTCTCTCTCTCTCTCTCTCTCTCTCTCTCTCTCTCTCTCTCTCTCTCTCTCTCTCTCTCTCTCGCTTTCTCTCTCTCTCTCTCTCTCCCTATCTTTCTCCCGGGGGGTAACTCACTGGGACTGAGAAGATGCTGGAAGTAATGGCTGTTGACAACGAGCGACGGGGGATTAGGAAGTGCTAATTGAATGTTTAGACGCGGTTCGCGGGAAAAGCCGGAGGATACAGAGCGAGCCACAATTTATTGCCTGTTTCGGTCGAGTGAGAGAGCAGATTTTGTTCATTGGTGTACCAAGTATTACTTATAAATGACCAAGGGACCAAGAGTTCATTATTTCGCCACGTTCCGACGGCATTTGCTAGCTGCGACGAGTAATGTCAAATTCGTTATATGAAGGCCTGGTATGACTAAAGAGTATTTCAGTGAAATCTCAGTGATTGTTGGTTGATTGATGAATCACCAAGCATATGAATGGTAAGATTACATATTTTGGTACTTGCACGTTTAAATCATGAGCAACTTGATAATCGGCCGGAAGGTTTCTTATTCGATATTTACTAAAATGTGAGTTAAAATGCGTATCTCATCAATTTTTGTCGAATACCTAATAGTGCAATTGAGGATTCAATGAATAGATATAATTTCCAATGTATAAATATTTATTTTCTTCTATTTTTATTTCGTTTGATTAGTCCCCTTGACCGCATGTTCATTTTGATCGAAATAAATAGTTACATTTCATATATGGAGTAATGAGATGGACTATTGTAGTCACCGATGATCACTATGACAGTTAACGTCATTGTTGTCAAGTCATTTCCTGCGCCTCATAATCAAAGCGATAAATAACGCTTGAACTTTGACAAATTACGTAAGCTTTTGTTATTTCATGCAGACAATAATTTTCAATACATTTTCTCGAAGGCCGTATATATGAATTGTTTTATAGTTCCAATTCTGCTGATTTAGTTTTCGAAAAGCGAGTCTTACTAAAATCTCGTCAGGTCAAAGTCCGAGACCCGAGTGAGAGTGACAGCAAAGTCAATTTTGACAGCTTACAGTGAGAAGGATAAGTCAGAGTTGTGTTATGTCAAGGAGACCTTGGTCACTAGAAACGTTTGTCCGCACAATTTCCACTTTTACAATGATTCAATTTTGAATTTATCAGTTTTGGATGGTTTGGTCAGCCTTGATGCAGCACGAGGTTTTAGATTCGCTGTGTAATATCTGTTGCTAGCGAGCAACTCCTGCTTCAAGATTAAAGTGTCAAAGTTCATTTTCATATTTTTGAACTTTGTTCCTTTTCCGAACAATTTTGTCTCTTTTCCACTCCAGCCAATCTGCCTAATTCTTCCTTCTCGCCCGGAAACTCACCTCATAAAGTGGCCGGCGGCTCGTTGGTGCAGCTCCAGCTCAATTTTGCTGCCGTGGTTGAGACTTTCGTCTCACGAAGCGTCGTGCTTAACAACAATCACAAGAGAGACGCGACAATGTCGGGGTTCACTGCACTGCTCAATTTGCCATGCACATGATTTGCAATCTGGGTTCTCGGTTCACTGTCACGACACTCCGGTTCTCAGTTCTTCTGTCAGTCCTCTCATGTATTGTCTCCTCCATGTAACACGCTGTCGTCCGCATTCAAGCTCATGTCGTTGATGCTGATAATCGCGTAACACGTATGTAGCCGACTCCGATTAGCGAGTCGCAATTCGCGACGTAGACGAAGAACCGCGCGTGTTCAGTCCTACCTCGCTGACGAGAGTTCTGGAAATGCTCCGCACAGTTGGTTGGAGTGCATCGGGGAGTCCGCGGCACATCACCAGCAACTCCATCCCCTCCTTTCATGTCGTGGCCGTGGCAACGGAGCTCATGACCCAATCGTTCAGCACCAGAGGCGGACATGTCGCGAGGTGGTGGCGCATACGGTATTCTGATTGGCCTTAATGTTAAAATTGGTCGATAACGAGGCGGCAAAGGCCGGTTACGTATCTCTAACGCACGTTACCTGTTCTTCGAACTGTCTCTCTTCAGCTTTACTCGCCCCTACTTTCTCTGGTGGGATGCGTCTTGCGATTACGCGCCACACGAGGCTCCTTTTCAATGTGAGAGCACGTCTCTCGCCGACGGATAATCATGATCGAAGTGTCCGGAAATCGTTCTCTCATTATATGTGGATAATGTCACCAGGATAGGGATTGGTTCAATTGGTAGGGATCATTCAGGGGATCAAAAGTAATTACAGAAAAATGTGGGAAATTTCGTTTCATCGGAACGGAATATTCCACTAAACACCAATATCATCGCGATTATCGGTGGTTATAAATATTTTATATTGATATTTTTATACATGGTATGGTCTATCTTGCAATCACACGTGCCATTGGCTCCCAAAAAGTTCTCTGTGTTCAAAATTAACTAATTCGTTCTTGAGTCGGATTGGAAGTAATAGTTGAAAAGGTAGAAGTGAAGAGGATGAAAGATGAGAGGGAGAAAGAGGAGAGAGGAACGAAAGCACAGGTAACTATTCCACCCCCCACTTTTATCACAGATGGATCCAGCCCATGAGGAGTGGGAGGAGTGGGGGACTATGAAGAAGGTGGGACAAGTGAAATGGTGGGCGCTGGTATCGCGACTCGAATTCGAGAGAACGCTGTTAAGAATAGGAATAAGAAAGCAACTTCTCTTCGATACCAACCGCTCTACCATACTTCCCTACCTTGTACTCCCTCTCCCTTCTTTTATCTCATACGATCTCTCATTCTCTCCTTTCCTCCTTGCTTTTTTCTCTCCTTCTTTCGTCAGACCTGTATTCGCATTTATTCCGCTAGGACATTGTGTTCGTCTCACAACGCAACAAAATGGTAGCTCTCGCCGTTTTGCTCTTTTTCTTCTGCGGGATTCCGCAGAGGGAATTTTCATGACGGGGGCACTAAGGCAGGGGGACTTTCTTCGCATCGTGTTAACCGTATGCACTTCGCGCATCTATCGACGATGGCTTCTTTCGTGCGCATTCGGAAATAATCGAAGTGGAAGAGGTTGGAAACTGAACTGGACTGGACTTACAAGCACTTTCTTTTTAATCTCTTTCTTTCTTTCTTTTTCTTCATAACACTATGTTTCGAGATATATCATCTTCCTCTTATCAAGAAATTATTTTAATTATTTTAAGGACTTTTCATTTTCGGTTTCCATATTGATTGAATCAACTTTTGAGACAATTTACAGAAGAGACGAAAGCAGTACCATCTTCCTCTTATTAACCCTCTAACTGCTGAGATATTAAATGACCAATAGGACCCTCTTTGCTGAGTTATCTTTACAATTATAAAATATTTTATAATGATGTAAGATCATGCAAAAATGTATACATATACCGGCTCTTTTTTCTTTTTCTTTGTGCCAATGTAGTATTTGAACATACATGACAATGCCTAGTGGCATTGTAGCGAGGTCGCCATTTTTTTCCACACTCGAGTTATCTCGACCAGTAGTTAAAGGGTTAAAGACAGCGTTAATGCACATGTGAAGATCCTGTCGACGTAGCTAATTTAACCTCCTTCTTAAAGAATTAATTGTAGCGTTTGGCGTAACGGGGCTAACTATTAGGTTGTTGCAGATGAAATGGCTGTTTTTCAAAATTCAAATTTCCCGGCCGAGTAGTTCTGCTCTTTTCATGCAGCTGTCGTTGCATGCGTGATATTTGAAAAGTATATGCCCCACACGTAAATTCGCACACATAACCGTACTTTTATCACATTGTTTACATCGTTGAAAATCGCTGTCTCTTCGACATGGAAAGTAAGAAAATGCGGATAATATTCTTGTACGAATACAAACTTGGTCATAGTACGGCCGAGGCAACGCGAAACTTAAACACTGCTTTTGAGGAAGGTTCTGAGGAGTGTGTTCGAACCATTAGACGTTGGTTTGAAAAGTTTCGGTCTAGTGATACAAATCTCGACAATTTGCCTCGCGGCCATGCACCATCACTGATTGATGACAATGTTTTGAAAGACATGGTTGAAGCAGACTCGCGTTTATCAGTTCGAGATATTGCACACAGCATCAACGTTCACTATTCCACTGTTTCCCGACACCTAAAGGCCATGGGGAAAGTGAAAAAGCTTGACAAATGGGTACCACATGAACTGACTAAGAGAGACAAGCTTCGCCGTATGGAAATCAGCTCATCTTTGCTTTCCCGACACAATAATGAAGGAATATTGAATCGAATAGTAACGTGTGATGAAAAGTGGGTTCTTTATGACAATCGTCGACGTTCTGCCCAGTGGTTAGATGCTGATCAAGCTCCGAAACACATGCCGAAACCGAGCCTTCATCCACGTAAAGTTATGGTATCTGTATGGTGGTCTGCCAAGGATATTGTGCATTCTTCGTTTTTGAAAAAGGGTGAAACTATAAATGCTGACAAATATTGCCAAGAAATTGACATTGTGATGGAAAAACTGCGTATTGAACAGCCGGCGTTATTAAATAGATGCGGTATGTTATTATCCATGATAATGCTAGACCGCATATTGCAGAAAAACTGTAAAAACATTAACAGAATACAAATGCGAAGTTATCCCTCACCCTCCTTATTCTCCTGACCTTTCTCCAACTGATTACCATTTGTTTAAGTATCTGGATAATTTTTTAAGTGAAAAGGTATTCCAAATAGAAAGCGACGTGAAAAATGCGTTCAACGAATTTCTTGCATCTCGCTCTTCTAATTTCTACGTGAAAGGCATTGATGCGCTTGTATCAGATTGGGGGAAGTGTATTGAGGTGGAGGGAGACTATTTTGATTGACGAGATGTATATAAAGTGTGTCGAATAAAAATTTAAATTAAAAATTAAAAATGGCCATTTCATCTACAACAACTTAATATTTCGCCGCGCGCGCGATCGCAACAAGCTCTTTCCCCTGCTTCTGATTTAGTAAATGAATTTACAGCATGCTGCACAACAGTATCTGTCAAGATACTTTTGTGTGTTATTAGGGAAACCGTGATCGATGCGATGAAAATAATTTTTTTTCTTAAAAAGAATAAGGAAAGAGGATGGGGAAATTCTAAAGCTATTCATTTGTCGAAGTTTAATAATGATAATTTGACATTTTTGATATTTAGAATCTACGATTCGGAGTTTCAAAGATTGAGAGTGCAAAGACTAAATTTTTTGCAACGTCAAAATTAGAAAAATAATTAAGCTACTAGAAGTTTTCGGAGCAAATTCACGCCTTCCCAATTCTTTTCACATTTTTACACTTTTATATATATATGAATCGGAAATTATAATGAAATCAAATCAAATATAATAATCAAATATAAATGAATCGGAAATTATAATGAAATCAAATCAAATATAATAATCAAATATAAATGAATCGGAAATTCAAATCTTTTGACACCCTTGAAACAAAATGCAAATTTCAGCTTTTCGATTGTGTTAAATAACATTAGCCGTTACTCACAAACACAAAAGTGCAGGAGAATCCGTGATTTATGTTATAATTGTGCCAACACCGTCCACGACTTGCTATTCTTTAAGGGTATAAAAAGCGCAATTTCGAATTGATCGTGCGAAATGGCGAAAGGATAATAACGCCGTTGCGAAGTGGCGTCGATTGCGAGCATATTTATGGAGCTATATTTTCCATACGCACACTCGATTCCATCCTTTATGGCCCATTGATCGTCTCTTGTTTATTCCCAAGTGCCAATAAGGGTGCTTCGTCGAAGGGGATGATCGAGTTTGGATATTGCCTCGCCACTAATGTGGCTGATCTGCCAACCCCATGTTTTCTTCCTATCTGCTTCGTCCATAAAATAATAACACGAATCTGATTGATAACAGTAATAACTTACGCTTTATTGCGGTGTGTAATGTTTAAATATCGCATTACCGTGCGTGAGTCGATCGGCATTAAAGGGAATCAAGAATAGTGCAAACGAGATTACTTCGAAGGCGACGAAATTTACAACCATTATTAACAACCATTAACAACCTTGTTGTTAAACAACAAGGAGAATGAAACGACAAGACTATATTTGTCACGTGACCAGTTTTGGACACTTTCGATTTCAGAACTGTTATTCCGAATGAATAATTGGATTAATACAAAATTGTATCGTGAATAATTTGCTTTTTGCCGTCGGTCCGGTTAATCACGATTCGTTTGTCGTTTCCGTTGCTCTTAAACTAATTAACCGGAAGTGTCGCTTGAGCTCGAGGGCGCGAGAGCTGTTTATCCCGGAGGAGATTTATTCCCTCGTCGCGACCAGGACACGCACGTGCTAAGATCCCGGGCGCACACATTGTCGCACGCGTCGCCGAACACGCAGCATATGAATATCTAATGCACCCCGTTCACAATTAAATTCGGACAATATGTTTTGTTTCGGGAGGGGCCGAAACGCGCCGCGGCGCCACCCTCGTGGCCGCTTGAAGGGTCCCGACGCTCTCGGGGGCAGAGGGTTCTTCACCCCTCGGGCGCTGAATCCTTCGCTGAATAACGCCCCGAGTGTAAATCTCGGCTGCGCGAGAAGGATACGCTGTGACAGGCGATAATTTCTTCCGATTAGAGTGATGCCTGCGGTTCTCCGCGAAAGCAAATCCCTATCGACATCTTATTCGACTAAAGGTGATAACGCATAGCGAAATCCTCGTCACAGGACTACCAAATAGATGGTCAGCTGGCCGTGAAAACGTAAACTTAATTTTTCTCTCAAAAAAAGTTTAATCTCTCGTTTTTATAGGCAAAATTAATAGT